CGCGCCGCCCCCGCCCCCTCCGCCGCCCCCTGCGAGGAGCCGCTGGTATTCCAGGCTGGCCGCCAACGTGCGGCGCGGTCGCCGACCCTTCTCGCCGAGGAGCATCCTGAGGAAGTCGCTCGTAAGGCTCTGCGCTGGAAGATGAAGAAGAGGGGGCTGGGCTGCCAGTCCCTGTAGCCTGGGGATTTAGTTTCGATTTTCTTTTCCGACTTGTGAAGGCCTCTTGCCTCTATCCGGAATGGGCTCATTTTGCTAATCCGCTGGGCTGGGGGCTAAGCGCCACTTAGGCGCCACCGGCCAGCTCACTAAATGATGAATTAACTCGCTGCGCCGGTTGAGGGATCCTCCAGCTCCAGCCACTTCCGTTACCCTTCTCTCAAAATCCGCCATTTCGAAACGCTGTGAAATTGTTCTCATTGAGCTTTTGCGAGCCACTTACACCCGTATTCTCTCTTGTTTCCAGCTGCCGGTTGCTGATCCCTTCCTGGAGAAAGTCAGCATGTCTGATCTGGGTAAGTGTCTATGCGAGAGTCGCCTTGGGACCCGCCCCTCTGAGTTGAGGTGACTGCTGAGCTGTGGGCTGGGACTGGCTGACTGGCAAAATTGATTAGCGACTCGAGAGCGTTTGCGCGCGCTCTCGAGCGTCCCGGCCCAGTTGTTGCTGGTGCGGCGTACTATGTAGTTGGAACTTCCCAACTTCATTACCACGCGAACCCATTCCAGGCCCACCCAGCGCGGCCGGAGCTACCCGTTTCGCTCAGACGTGAGCGTCTTCCCATCCCATCCCCCTGCTGGACGCGGGGGCCGGGGGTCCTCTAGATGAGGGGGGCAGCCCCCTCTTCCCTTGCACGATCCCGGGCGGGGAGTCCTGAAGGGGGAAGGAGGGGCGAGCCGCGAGAGGGTACCCCCGGAAAGAGGGATGGGGGGAGGGGGCTACGTGGCTCTGATGGGAGGGAGGGGCATATCGATCGGAAGAGGAAGATGGGGGGCGCGAGAGGTGCTGTGGCGCGGGGCACGGGGCCGCGCTGCCCTCCTCGCGTTCATCATTGCAAGCTTTGGTCCTGGGCTGGGCACCTTCCCCCTCCCCCTTTCAACCCTGCCCTTTTCTCCTCTTTTCAAATGCTGATGCCATTGCTCCAGCCCAGCCGCAGCCCCTTGTTGGCGTCACGCCCAGCCCACCCCCAGCCCAGCCCACCCCCGGCCCCTGTCCCGTCCCACAGCTACGGATGACAGACTGCCCGTCATCATGGAGACGGCCTGGGGCTCGCGGACGGCTGCACCCGAGGTCCATACACCGGCGCCGGGCACCGCGAGAGTAGGCGTGCCGTTAACAGAAATAGAAGCGACCACGCCAATCGCACGGGGCCTAGCCAGCCGGCACGCCGATCGTATACCACCGGGCGGACAAGGCGCCCCACCCCGTGGCTGGCAAACTACCGACCTGAAACTGAAACCCCCAGGCCAGGGGTTCTGCTGCGCTCTGCGTGGCGTGGGGCGCGTTGGCCAATAAACGCCAATAAACCGGGCGGGGAAGGCACAAACTTGTGCTGCGTTCGTGCTTGGCCGATGCGCCGCGCTCGGCCGCGCCCCGCTAGTGCTCGTCACGCCCCACTGCCCGGGCCCGGGCCGGTATCGCGTCGTTTGACCCGCGTTCGGCCGCCACATCGGAGCGCCTAGGAGGGGGAGGTCAAGTGGAAGCGAGCGCCGAGAGTTAGGCGGAGAAAGAGAGGGGACGCGTTTTCTGAAAACTCGTTTATATTCACGTCCTTTTTTTCTGTGACATCTTTGCTGTCCATCTCTTTCTCGGTCTCTCTCTCTCTCCCTCTCTCTTTGCTGTCCATCTCTTTCTCGGTCTCTCTCTCTCTCCTCTCTCCCGTTCCTCCTCGGCCCGGAAGCCTTGGGGATCTCGCTCCTCCCAAGGCCGCGCGTTTGGCAGCTGCCGCTCCTGCCTCGGACCTCGGACCTATCTGCCCGGCGCCCGCCCTGCCCCGCCCCGCCCCGC